TTTTCTTCTAGGTTTGTTTGTTTTTTTAATTTAGTTATCTCGTATGTAAACATTGCTGGTTTAAATATTTAAATAAATATTTAGCTATTTTCTACCAGCTGACAAATACCTTTTAGCTTCTGTTTGTAGCTTTATGACAATTCTTAAAACTATTCTTATGTTCTGAATCAAGCATAAGTAATAATATTATATAAATTAATTGACTCTTAATGTTATATAGATTGCTTTCTCTAATGCAGTTAGGAGATGTTCAAAATTTGATTTGTTCTTAGAGTAAGTGAAGGTTTGAAGAATGGTATAAATATATATAGAAGAGGGTGTACTTTACCAACTTCTTTTTAACAGCATTGTTAACATATTTTAAACTATTTAACAACAATGCTGGAATGATCATTTGCTTTGATGTAATCTGCTAATTCAACACATATCAATTAAAAGTCTGTCTGCTGTGGAAGATATTTCTAGTTTTAAGACTAGCTTCATCCCCTAATTCCCCACTCCCCACCTATGTTTTCATATTGCATTCCTGTGTGTTTATTTTCAGCCTTCTGTAAGTTTTATAACCCTGTACTATACAAGCAAAGTAATTGTTATTTTATAATGCTATACTGTATAATCAAAGTAATTGTTACTCCAACTTTGTAATTTATTATAATAAAGAAGATGGATATAACCTATGATTCTTATCATCACTTACTTGGTATTTTGCATTTAGGATTCTTTCCATATAAAGTTACAGTGTATCAAAATACCTCAAATTTCAAAATATCTTAAAACGAGAAATGATATAACCTATTAATATAATAATCTTTGTAATTACAATTTGGTTAAGCAATTTTCTTTCTGGGCTGTATTTTCTTTATATCCATACTGGTGTTTTCTGTACTTGTTCTATCCAGTACTGAGATGGGGGTGTTAAAATTTCCAACTGAAACTATGGATTTGTCTGTTTCTTTTTAGTTCTGTTTTTGTTTTATAAATTTTCAAGCTTATTAATTAAAGATACATACATATTTATGCCTCATTGATGACTTACGCTCTTTATTTCTTGTAATACTCTTGGCCTTGAAGTCTGCTTTATATTGCTATGCCAACTTTCATATCCTTGCTGTTTGTATAGTATATCTTTTTCATCCATTTATTTCCAACTCATTTGATCTTATATTTAAACTATATAAGTTTAAGTCTTGCTTTTTAATCAATTTTGATAATTTCTGTTTATTAATTGGAATGTTTACTCCATTTATTTTTACACATATTTTAGACTGTTTAAAATTGTGTTGGAGGCCCCTGAGTCTCTGTTCATTTTCACTTATTCATTTTTGTCTTTATTGTTCAGATCGATCTGTGTTCAGGTTTACTGACTTCCTTTCTATCTCCATTGTCTGTTATGTGTGCCCTAATGGTGAATTTTTCACTTCAGTTATTGTATTTCTCAGTTATAGAATTTCCAATTGATTTTTTATAGTTTCCATTTTTCTGTTGATATTTACTTGTTTACTCATTAAGACTGTATTTTATTTCTTTAAAATATTTTCCTTTGTTTCTTTGAGCTTATTTATTTTAGTACAAGAGCTATTTTAAAGTGTTTGTCAGCTGTAAATCTAACATCTTTTGGAACCATTTTCTGTAGACTTTTTTCCTTGATGATGAGTCACACTTTCCTTTTTGCCTCTCTAGTAATTTTGAAATTATGTATTGTACCTTTTGGATGGTAGAGAGTCTAGATTTTGTTATTTTTCTTTGCGTAGTATTGATTTCCATTCTAATAGGCTGTCCAGTTACTTGCTGGTCATCCTTAACTCATGCAGGCTTAATTTTATACTTTGTAGATGTGTGGAAAGATCAAGCTGTTTCCCAAGTTCATTTAACTTGGTAGGATTCAACCTTTAAATTCTGTTCCACCTGCAGTCTTTAGTGTTTGGTATTAGGCTTTGTTAGGTAGTGCTAGAGTAGGTCTTACTTTAGAGCGTGGTTGTTTCTTATAAGATGTGTTAGCTGGATTCCCAAGAAATTAATAAAACATTCCTTCCAATGCTGCTTGACCTGTAGTGTTTCTGTTCTGCCATCAGCCCTATAGCAGTTACTCTGTAGTCAACTTGGAGTACTCTCTCTAGGTAGACCAGCCTTTAGCCAAATACTTACATGTGACTTCTAGGGACCTCCCTCTCTACAATACCTTACTTTCCAGTTTCCTGCCCAGCATAATTTAGCTGCCTTATGTGTCTTGAACTCTGATCTCCTCCTCTTCAACTCAGCAGGACCACTGTGCTTTGTTTGCTTAGACAATCACTTGCTGTGCACTGGTTGGGATAATGACTTTAATCAGAATTTGGGGACAATTATTGGTCTAACTTGGTCAGTTTCTCTTCTCTCAGGGGTTATAGTCTTATGCTGCTTATTTTACAAACCTGAAAACAGTAGCTTCATATATTTTGCCATTTCAGTGGTCGTCTACAGTGGGAGCATTAGCTGGTACACATTATTCCATCATAGCCAGAAGTACATGATACTGAGTGATAAATATTTATATTTATTGTGTCATCCCAGGACTTTTCTGTGTTTTCTATTAGTGATTTGTTGAAACACACTCAACAAATAAGACTTGTTATCTGGTTTTTGTTGGGGGAAAAAACTTTATTAAAGAGTTACATTTTATGATTTTCTAAAATTTTATTGCATTTTATATATTATAGTATCTGATCTGTAAAATATGATGGTTCTTCCCTATTATGTCTGGGGAAGACATGAACATATCTTTGGTTTACCTTATTTTCATCAGTGAAAGTATTGATTCTAGAAATGGATAGCATTCGACAAAAGATAATTAGAAACCTGCTGAATCTTTTTTAAAACTGAAAATTCATAGTGTGGCCAGTTATCACGTAAAAGAAAATTTGCAAATTAATTTATGTGTCAAATATTTAGTGAGTGTCTCTTATTACCAGTTCTGGCATTATACTTGTACTGGGGATATGATGGAGAACAAAGTAGGCATGAATAATCCCCACCCTTGTTGAGTTTACATTCCAATTTGGGAAACAACAAATACAAAAAAACAACATCAAAAAATTACAAATTATGGTATCTACTAGGAAGAAAACAGGTGGGGTTCTGAGGCAGAGAACAATGAGTTCTACTTTGGATAGAGTGGTCAGAGAAAGCCTCTTTGAGGAGTTTTATACTTCAGCTGAGTGGATAAGGAGCTCGTATCCTTGGGTTAGATAGAGGTTGGGTCAGGGACAGTGACGGGTTTTCTAATACCTTTCCAGTACCTGTAAAGACCCTGAGGAAAGTTTTGTTATATTAGGGGAACTAAAAGTGTGCCTGAAATATGAATAAAAGGGGAACAAGTGATGAGATTTAAATTGGGAAGGTGGGAATAGGCTAGATCATTTATGACCCTGTAGACTATGGTCTGGAGCTTGACTTCCTCTTACCTTCTTTCCTCCAACCCTGAGTAGGGTGACGATCTAATCTGTTATACCACAGCTGGCATACTTGAGTGAAAAGAAGCACAAACTGGGTGGAATACTAAGTTGACAGATGTAATCTGGTCCTGTTTGGGGAAATCATCCTAGTTGCAGGCATACATATGTAGAGATAGTACAGATTCTGGATGCAGACTACTTTTAAATCATGAATTTACTTACTATCTGTATAGCTTTCAGGCAATTTAACTTCTTCGTGCCTCAAATTTCCCATTTGTAACATGGAAGAAATAATACCTCATTGGGACTGTTAGGAAGATAATATATAATAATACATGTATCAAAACACACAGTGTGTGGCACATACTAAGTACTCAGTAAATTCATTGTTTCAGCAAACATTTACTGAAAGGTTATTATATATCAGGCATTATACTAGACACTGGGGATTAAGCAGTGAACAAGACGGAAATTCTTGCCTTTATTGGGTTTAAATGCTAGTACTAAGAGAGAGGTGATAAAAGTGCAGTGGAGCAAAAGCATGGAAGACAGTGGAATAGGGAGTATGCTGGCAGCAGAGGGGAACAATGAGTTGAAAGTTTAATTTGAAAGTTTAGCTTGCTCAGAGTAGGCCTCACTAAGAAGAAAACATTTGAACAAGGATTTTAAGGAAGTGAGGGATTGAGCCCAGTTAGAGGAGGTGATTTCAGGTAGAGGGAACAGCACATGCAGAGATGATATGGGAAGCCTTTAGGGGGTTTTAAGCAGAGGAATGACAGAAAATGGTTTGTTTTAGAAGGATCCGTAGACTGTGGAGAGGTGAAAATGTCAGGGAAGCTAGTTGAGGCTAGTTCTGGTAATTGAAATAAAGGATACTGTACCAGGGTGATATCAGTGGAGGTAGTTAGAAATTATGGGATTCTGAAACTACTTGAAAGGTAGAATTGACATGATTTGCTGATAAATTTGATAAGTTGTTTAAGAGAAAAAGAGGTGCTAAAGGATTTTTAGCCAGAACAACTAGAAGGATGAAGCTGCTATTTACTGAAATGGGAGGAATCCATTCAAGAGTAAAGATTAGGAGTTTCAGTATTAGATGTCCTGTTAGACACTCAAGTATAAATATTAGCAGTTATTATGTACTATTATCCAATAAATGTTAACTATTATCATTAACTATTATCTCTCTGTTAGACAGTTTGCTATGTTCTAGGAATTAAAAGGATGGTCAAAAATAGATAGCCTTCTTGCCCTTATGGAATTTACAGTCTAATGGAGAAGATAGGAAATGATCAAATAACCATATTGTTGGTAGTTAGTTTTTTCCCTTAAAAATTTTTTTTCCCTGTTTCTTTCATTAAAAATGTTTGCTTTTACTTTTTATTAGTTAGCTAAGGATCATTTTGTTTTGCAATTAAAGTCTTTAATAACAGGATTATAGTATGATCTGTTCACCTTTCTCATAAAACTAAAGTATTAATCATTTTTGTGTTTTAAAAAATCAACAGGTTCGTCATAAGGCATCACAGAAAGTTTATGCTATGAAACTTCTTAGTAAGTTTGAAATGATAAAAAGATCAGATTCTGCTTTTTTCTGGGAAGAAAGAGATATTATGGCCTTTGCCAACAGTCCCTGGGTGGTTCAGGTAAGCATACTAACTTTTATAAGTTTATTTCCTTTTTTGATAAGTGCTTATTATTCATAAGAGTTGATTTTGTGTGCTGAAATTCCTATGCTTCATTCACATAGTGACAGTGTAGTTATTTTTAGTAAGATCTGATTCAGTACACTTGTTTAATATTCCTAAACAGTATGTCCACATAGATGTAACATGTAATGATTACTTAAATTGGTGTTTGGAAGCAAGTATTAGTTGCAACTTTTTCTTCTTTAATTCTTTTATAAAGAATTGGCTTGATCACCAGTATGCCATTATTCCCTGTCAACCCCTTCTTGTGACTTACATGGTAGGAACATAGCAAATTCATTGAACCATTTAAGGATATATACATACTAATATTAGTTAGAAGTTTATGTTACATTAATCAGCGTATCTTGGGGAAAAAAAACTGTCTACAATAAATATTTTGAAAGTTCTCCTACAGTGCTTTATATATTACCTATAATGTAAGACAGTATTAGGGCTTCTAATTCCACAACTCTTAATGTGACTGTGGGTTAAGGAACTTATGGTTCTGTTTTGCCTTCTTTTCTGTTATATCCCTCACCAGCTTTACTTCTCTAAAAGTTTTTTTATACTTTTATATTTTATATCTAAATCTCCAAACATTTTTGAGCAAGTGTCATGCATGAGTAAGATTAGATGTATACCAATACTTGTTCAGCATGCTTAAATGATCCAGGAATTTGATAACCTTGCTTGTAGAAGGCAATTTGGAGGCAAAAAAATTTGCCACATTGATGACCATGTCATTTAAAAGCTCATTACTGTTGCTTTTTTTTTTTATAGGGTTGAGCCTTAATCCTCCCCTCTTATTTTTTTACTGTAGGCAGTGAATAGAAATCCTGGTATGTGCATCTAAAACTAAAATTTTTGTGGCAAATTATGTACCATGATAATTTACTTGATTAAAGAATCATGGTAATAAAAGTATGTATTATACTTTTAGCTTTAAATTGTTTTCATAGTAGCAGATTCCTTGCCATTTCTAGTTAATCATTTTATAAATTGGCATCTTTTGATCTTTAATTCTGCTGAGTGGACCTTTATCGAGTCTTAATTGAGATAGAAAGGACCTGTAGATTATTGAGATAATCGAGATAATGGATCTGAGGAAGCATATCAGCAGCAAAACATAGTACAGTTGAAAAAGTAACTCAGATTGTCATCATGGCCGTCATACGTTTACCTATCTTGATAAAAGACGTTCCAGGCACCATTATATTTATATGCATGAAGTATTGAACTTTTGGGGAAAACTTACCAAAGTGACTTATTTTTATTATTT